TGTTAAATTGATGGGCATTTTTTTTTTCTTGTACGCAGCCATGGTTACCTTGCATGGCTATTTCCAAAGCTGTATCTGTTTCTTTAGAGTTGATTTTCCTATTTTGTGGAGATCACCTTTACTTTGACCTCTAATTGGGGGTGTCTGGCCAAACAAGATCTTATAAGGGGGCTACCCCATTTGTTTAATAGGAGTACACTAGATAGGGAGGAGGTCAACAGGCAGGACTTGATCTCATCTCAAGTGTGGTTTTTTTTTTGTACCGGGGATCAAACTCACAACTTTGTGCTTGCAGGCGCTTATGCCACTGAGCTAAATCCCTGCCTCAAGTGTATATATATATATATATATATATATATATTTCTTTTTTAAATCGGTACCGGAAATCGAACTCACGACCATGCACTTGCAAAGCCCCTCAAGTATGTTTTTTTTTTTTAACTTTATTTTGAAAGTATACAACAGAACAAGACAGAATAAAGCCAACTAAGATTCTACAGTGAATTTAGTACAGAACTTCACAGCAGGTTCTCAGGATAACAGTAATAGGTATCACAGTATATTTTGTTATCTTTATAATAGTTGTTCTTTCCATCACGTATATCAAATTGAGATGAAATATAGAACACTATAGAACTTATCAAAACAGAATATTGAATAGAGCAGTACCATCAAAGAGATGGTAAAAGGAAGTCCCCCTTGTTTGCTATGGTCAACCTCCCAGGAGACGCTCAGATTTCTGGTTCCCATTTGCTAATGGGGGGTGGGGGGAGAAGGAGGGTAAGGGAAGTGGGATATTTGACTCTAGGCCGTGTCACTATTTTTTTATTTTTTTGAGACAGGGTCTCGCTGTGCAGTTCAAGCTGGCCTTGAGCTCACTTTGTAGCCCAGGCTGGTCTTGAACTCGCAAGGATCCTCCTGCCTCAGCCTCCCGAGTGCTGGGATTACAGGCTTGAGCCACCACGTCTGCCTCAAGTATGTTTTTTTGATAATACTTTTTTAGCAGTTACTTGAGCATCCAGTACATGTGTTCTACCTTTTCAGAGCTGTGAGGCTGGTAGGCTGTGTATAATTTTTACTTTAGTGTTAACATCCATGTGAGCTCCTGAACTATTTCAGCCATGAACACTGGCCTGTTGTCCAATCCCAAAGTTACAGGCGTCCTGAGGATGATGTCTTTGATAGCACCATTGTCACTTCTAGGGTCTTTTCTCTGCAGTAGGAAAGATTTCAGGCCACTTTGAGGAGGTGTGAACTAGAATCTACTAGAATCTCTGGCTGGGGGCAGCTCAGTGACGTCCACAAGCAAGTTTTCACTAGGGATGGCACTTGCATCTTGGGTACCTGGGAGCCTGGTGGGCCTTTTTTTTGGGTTGTTCTGTGTATAGATTAGGCATTGTTTGCAAAGAGCTTGTGGTGACATTAAGCTCTGGTACATAGAAATGACAAGTTAGTGACATTTATAGTGTTGTGTTTTTTAAAAGTGTGAGACCCACAGGCATAGTGGTGCATGCCTGTAATCCCAGCACTTGGGAGGCTGAGGCAGGAGGATCATTTTGAGTTTGAGACCAGTCTGAGATATAAAGTGAGCTGAAGGCTGGTCTGAATTGCATAGGGAGACCCTGTCTCAAAAAGAAAATCAATCAATCAATCAATAAAAGTAAATGTGAGACCTTTGAATTGCCTTACAAACCTGGGGCCATCATTTCAGGGATAGCCAGTTTCCCATTAAGAATTTCCATCATCCTCCCTTGATTTAGGCCCCAGGCTCCAGGTGAACCATGTTTTTTCAATTGCAGTGTAGTTTGGGGTCTCTGGGAGTGGAGGTTCTGGATGAGGGATAGGTCCAGGAACCCCTTTTTGGGTTGTGGGGTTGGGGGGGGGGCTCTGTATTCTGGTTTTTCTTTGGCCTTTATCATACCAGTCCATCGATGTTCTCTGTAGTGTATAAAAACCCCTTTTCTTGGTGCCCGTATGGCATTTAGGAGCTGTAAGTTTTTTTGAAAAAAGTTTATCTCCTTTTCCCCAGCATTCAGGTACTCTCTCTCTCTCCCTGTATATAGCTCCATGAATATGTAACATGGCAAAGCTGTAGTTGGAATCTGGACAGATATTAGTTTTTTCATCCTTAGCTACTAACAATGCCCTTGTCAGGGCTATGAGTTCAGCCCTCTGGGCAGAAGCTCTGGTAGGCACAGCTGAGCCTCGATCAGAGTCCAGTGCCATCACTCTGTATCTGTCCATCAGACCCATTTTAATACAAAATTGCTCCTGTCTGTGAGATATTCAACATCCGGGTCTCTCAGAACATGACCTGTGAGACCTCCACAACCTGAGAATACCTCGTCCATAACTTTTATGTAGTCATGAGGTGGGGCTCCTGGTTTGACTCAGAACAAAGTGTCCAGGTTAACAGTGTTTACTGTCCCGAACATTATGTAAGGATTTTTGCCCAAGAGCTCCTTATACCGATTCATCGTTGGATTGGATAGCAATGGTGTTCCTTCTGGGCCATAAAGGTTATAACTGAATATGGTCCTTGAATTCTCAGTGGTCTCAAAGTCAGCTTGTTAGCTTCCTGCATCAGAGGGAAGCTCCAATCTGAGAGGACTGTTATCAGGGAACCAAAGACCTCCTGTATTTACTCTGGAACAGGATATAAGGCATTGAAGAAAAACATACAAATTTGCCATCAAGAGGTCAAGAAGTTGTGACAGTGTGTCTGGAAGCATGAAGGCCATCCTACAGTCACAGAGTCTGTTGTGACAAATATGCCACCAGATGATGCCAGGATCGTATGACCTGGGTGAAGATTCCTATGACCATTTTCTTTGGTCCATACAGGAGGAAGGACTTAGCTATGTCTGGCTGTCCTAAGGTTGAGGCCTGAGTCAAGGCCTCTTTGATCTGTTTAAATGTCCTCTCATGGTCAGCTTATTAGAGGAAGGATTCCTTTTTTGCCCCACTTTGTGGCTTCATAAGGCATCTGGCCAATAAGGAGACATTTGGGATCCAGATAGGACAAAATCCCACTGCCCCCAGAAACTCTTACTTGGCACCAGATGGTTGGGGTAGGAAGGGCACAGACAGCCTGTTTTTGTTTTATGTCCAGTTGACGTTTCCCGTGTCACTATAACGCCTAAATATCTGAACTCTTGTAAGCAAATTTGTGTCTTTTTCTCGATGCCTTATATCCTGTTCCAGAGTTATTACAGGAGGTCTTTGGTTCCCTGATAACAGTCCTCTCAGGTTGGGGCTGCTAAAAGGCGGTGATGTACATATTGTAGCAAGGTGTAATTGTTCCCTGGTACGATGAAAGCTTTGAGATCATTAGCTAGCACCTCTGCAAAGACTGTAGAGGAGTTTTTGAGCCCTTGGAAAGCTTAGTCCAGGTCAATTTTTTAAAAAAATGTCTGTGATGGGATCCTCCCATTGAAATGTAAAGATAAACTGACAAACTGATTTAAGGCACAGACAGAAAAAAAAGTGTCCTTTAAGTCTAAGCAGGTAAACCAGGCAGCACTTGTTTGAGCTATGAATGCTGGGATAATTTGCCATTACTAGGTCTGGTAGTGTGATTTTCCACATTAATAGATTAAAAGGGAGAACTCAGGATCACCTCAGTGCCCGGAAAAAAAAATGCAGCAAACCAGGAATAGACTGGCAGTAGCTTCATGCAAAGCATTCCACCAGAGACCTGTGAGGTTCAGGGTACAATGAAAATGCACAGCTGAGTTCAAAACTTCTTAAGAATCTTGCAGGTGTGGTGGAACACCTTTGTACCCCCAGAACTCAATAGGCTGAGGCAGGAGGATGCCCAGCCTGGGCTACAGAGTGAGCTGAAGGCCAGCCTAAATTACATAGTGAGGACCCTTTTTAAAAATAAAAATAAAAAAGAAACAATAAACTCCACTGCATTCCATGTATGCATGTGTGCTTGTGTGTGTGTGTGTGTCTGTGTGGTGTGTTACTGGGGATTCAACCCAGGGCCTTTGCACTAAGCTACATCCTCAGTACCTCTTAGTTTTAAGGGTCTCACTAAATTCTCAAATTGCCTAAGCTGCATGGAACTTGTAGTCCTGGTGAGTTGGCCTTCCAGAGTGCTGGGATTCAGGTCCATTGCATTACTAAAACTCAACACTAAGCAATAATATTATAACTTGAAAATCTTACTAGCCATAAAAACTGTGAGATACTGTACTAGAAGTAAATAAATCTAGAAAAACAAAACAAAACAGGAAAACCTTTCTGGAGATGGACATTAGCCAAGAGGCTGAAATAGAATTGCAAGTTCAAAGCCAGCCTGGGCAACCCAGCATAAAAGGGCTCAGTGGCAGAGCTTCAATCCCTGGCACAAAATAACAACTTTATAGGAAGATTTGTGATGTTCATGGATATGCATAAAATAAGTTTAATAAAATGCTCAAGAGGTTTTGTTTTCCAGGTTAAATACAATGAGTAGAGCCAGCTGCAGGGGCTCAAGCCTGTAATTCCTGCTACTCTAGAAATTAAGGAAAGGTGGGTGAAGTCTGAGCCCAGACTGCGTCTCTCCCCACCGCAACACCACCTTAGAAAACGCCTTTAACTGCCCGGCGCAGGATCCTACCTACACAGCGGGCAGAGGCAACAGGGTCCCAAGTTCGAGGCCACACTGGGCAATTTAGCGAGTGCCTGTTCCAAAACAAAACAGAAACCTGTCTTCACCCCAGGGAGCAGAGCCTGCCTCCCCTGCGTAGGCGCCGCCCCATCCCCAGGGCAGTTTTTCAGGTCTTATTTGCATAGCCATAATGCACTGCCGACCGTGCGACTTCTTTCATGATGATAAACATACTTGCTTTTTTAATTTTAAAAATATGGACTAAAAAATTAAAAGTATGGACTAGGATATAAAGAATTAATCAAGTAAACGGCTTTAAGTAGTAACTTTTTCTGATCACTAGTCACCATCGGTGAACCAGGAGTTCTAGTTACTCTGGTGAGAGTCACAAAAAAGCAGCTGTATACTCGAGTTTCTCTTCAAATCGTATAAATCTTTCGCCTTTTACTAAAGATTTCCGTGGAGAGAAACAATTGAGTTTTAAGCAAATTTTTTGAAGCCTTGTTTGAACAAGGCATATAATAACTTGTTTAAAAGTAGAGCTATGTGGCGTGTAAGTATTGCCACTATGAAAGTTTACAGATGTGGTTCTTTAGTTTTGCTTGCAATGTTGTCTGCTAATGTTTTGTCACTTATGGGTAACAACTCAGGAGGAGTGTGGTTTGTGTTTGTTTTTGGCTGGGTACAATAATACAGTATTTACAAAGGTTTTTTCGTTCATGTTTTTCTTTCTTTTCCTTTCCTTTTTTTTTTTTTTTTTAAGTTTTTCCTCTTTCCCCCTTAGGTTGTATACCTTGGGGGTTTGAGTTCCTGACATAGCCTTTAATACTTAAAACAGAGATGATGATACACCTATAATCCTACGACCTTGGTGGGCTGAGGCAAGACTGTAAGTTGAAGTACAACCAGAGCAATTTACAGACTCAAAAAGACCATTTTTTTTAAAGTTGAGGGAGGGGCTGGCGATTTAGCTCAGTGGTGCTTGCCTGCCTGGCAAGCACGAGGTTGTGAGTTCGATCCCCAGTACCGCAAAAAAATAAAAAATCAAAAAAAGGGGGAGAGGCTAGATGTAACTCTGTGAAGGCCCTGGGGTGGGGTTCAATCCCCTGCAAATAAATAGACAAAATTTATGTTGGTTACAAAGATGTGATTATTTTCTACTAATTTATGGCTTCTCTTTTTGCTCTTCTAAGGATTCCAGTCTTAATTTTAACATGAGGTTTGTTTTCCATTATTTTGATTTGTGCCTTTACATTTTGTTTAATCAGACAACCATGGACTGAGACTTCTGAATCTGTGAGCCAATATCAACCTTCCCTCCTTGGGTGTTTGCTAACTGCAGTGAGACGCTTGACACGTTTGCAGGTACTTCTCAGGAGGACACAGTGAAGAGAAATCCCGGGGATGGGAAGCTGGAAGGCAATGCCTGGACAGACTGAAGCAACCTGTCTGGGAGGCAGGACTCCTGGAACATGTAGACTCTGGGACACACGAAAGACCAAAGCAAGAGGCAGGTTCTCATCCTGTATTGCTGCCAACTGGCTTTGCGACTTCTGCAACCCAAGTTCTGACCCTCTAGGGGTGCAGACTCCTCCATTTACCATGATTTAGGTCATCTCCAGATTTCCCCCGGGCTGTGATGCTGCATGATGTAAACTCAGGGCTCAGGGGAGTGGAGGAGATAAGAATGTGAGAGAACCAATCAGCACAGCCTGTGGTAAGAGCCTTGTCCTGCCTTCAGTTAGGAGGCTGAGGCAGGCTGATTCCACCAGCCTGGCTGAGACATTGCTCCCTGTGGGGATGAAGGACTCAACACTGGTCCAGAGCAGAACTGTAAGGTCACACCAAGGGCACCAAGGACAATGCAGGCACACACTTAAGCACACACTTGAACATCCATGTATATACTTGCAGACAAATGTAGGCATCTAAGAAAAAAAAAATGGTTGTATAGTGTGCATAACTCATCAGGAACATGAATAGTTGCCCAGTGTATTTACCAAATAGTTATAAAATGTGCCTAGGTTACAGGAAACAAGCTTCATACTGTACCCCCCATTCAAGTTGACATCTTTGGCCTGAAGGAAAGGAGGATGAGATGGAAGGTGGTTACTGTTCAGAAAGTGTTCCATCAGGAATCTGGCTCCCTGGTGTCCTTTTTCTCCTTGGAACATTCTTTAGGCCCTGCTTTTGGCTCACTGCGTCTCACTCTTCTTAGAACTAAAAACTGGTCTGAGGTTATCTGTTTCTTTTTTCTTTAACCCTGTTCTATAGTTGATGTAACACTGTCATACAGTAAGTGAATGCAACGCTTGGCTTTTTCTCTGTCTGGGTCTTCTCTATAAAACTTTGTAACTCTTTTCTCTTTTTTCAGGGTCCTTTATTTTACAAGAACTTTGCTGCACTTTTCAGAACGCTCCTCAGCTGCCATCCCGGGCTGTTCAGCCAGAAGTTGCTGGGTTCTTCTGTGGACAGTTCCTCTGAGTGTTCCCTCTGCAATTCGTCAACATCACCACTGCCTACTTTCAGGCCTGTGGACTCTGCTATAAATGACAGTGGCTTCAACCACAGGGCCAGCTGAAGGGTCAGGCTCCTCTACACAGCCTTCAGAGTCTCTCTCCTGTGTACTTTTAGATCTCAGAGTCCTGAGAGAGACATTGGCTCAGGATTTCCAGTGAGCCCCACACAGGAAGGGATGTCATAACGGTCCTTCCAGAACTCTGTAAGGGTTAAATTTACATCGGAGACACTCTGGAAGCACTTAAGGGGCAGTTCCTTGGTGTATAGTTTCTTAAAGTCAGCTGTAACCTACTGGCCCACAGGCTGCAGTTATAGGAGTTGTGTTAGGTAGGAGGAACTTGACAGCACAATGGGAGTTCTTCAGCCAATTTTTCCAGATCTCACAGGTGAGCGGAAGCGTTGTCCATGATGAGAGCCTTGAGTGGTAAAGCTTTGTGCTGTAGATATTGCTTAACAGTAGGGCAGAAGGCCTGCCTGATCCACTCAAGGAAAAGTACTTTTTATTACCCAGGCTTTTGCATTAGCTCTCCACAAGACCCCTAGCCTATTCACGACTTTCTGTTTTCTGAACACTCCAGAGATCTCAGAGTGATCAACTAAGAGAGGCTTTCTTTTGAGGTCACCATTTGCAGTGGCATATAATAATATGGTAGCCTGTCTTTCATAGGTCTGTGGCCTGGCATTTTCTTCTCTCCCTGGGGTATGTGTATTCTCTTAGACATTTTCTTCTGGGAAAGGCCAGTTTCACCACGATTAAAAACGTGACAAGAACAAAAGCCATTTCTCTGTGTCATTGTTTCAAAGTGACGCGTGTAATTTTCAGTAGCTCTTATTAGCACTGGCAGCATCACCATGCCTAGTTATGCTATAAACCCCAGTTCTCACTTCAAAATTGTGAAATCATCCCTTATTGGCACAAAACATTTCACGCTATCACGCACTGATGGGTTATCTTTTGTGAGGTCTGCGTTTATACTCCTAGTGTTTTCACAAACTGTAGACTCAAATAGGCTATAAGCTGCCATTTGCCTTTTGTTTATCCACGCTAATAACAGCGTTTCTACCTCATCTAACACCTTCAATCATGACTTACTAATTTGAGTAATACCTCTAACACTAGCTTCCTTATGCAAATCTCTTCCCTGTGAGACTGTTAAGACGGTAAATTTTGACATGCTGTACATGTTGCTGGTCACACAAATGCCATTCTCATTTCTCCAGGTACTTTCTTTTAGATTGTGATTTCTTTCTTTCCCTTCCCTTCCTTCCTTAACTTCTTTTTTAGCTTTTAGGGGTTCATTTTGAGCATAGTAATCATAGCAATTATATTATGTGTCTAGATGTCTCCCCAAAGCCTTTGTGTACTTCTAAGTGGGGCTTTTTCAAAGGTGGCAGAATCTGGAGTTTGTGATTGAGTCATCGTTCAATGCTGGGATTGAGGATGCTGGGTTAGGAGTGGGTGATGGCTGGATCAGTCCACTGATTGGATTGGCACTGTCCTAATTCCAGGAGTCTGGATAAGATAAAAGGAGTAGGACTGGGATTTAGCTCAACGGTGAAGGTGCCTGCCTGGCAAGCACAGGTGGTGAGTTTGATCCCTGGTACCAAAAAACAAAAAGGAGCAGAAAGAGGCTGGTTCCCCTCTTCTGCTCTTGTTGCTTTTGGTGTTTCCTGCTGCCATGAATAGTTGCCCCTTTGCCATGTGGCAATCTGTCTTCGAGCCAACCAACTGTGGACTGTAACCTCTATAAACTATGAGCTACATAAACCTTTCCCTCTTTAACTTTGGGTTATTTTGTCCCAGCCATGAGAGAAAAGTAATTAAGACAGATTATAGAAAGCACTGACCACAATAATGTCCACAAATATGTGCATCTGGGCTCAGGCTGACCCTTATGTATGCTTGCATATGCTCTTCTTGTATCGTGAGTCTTTGTTCACAACCACACAAGAGGCTGGCATCTGTATCATAACTCAATACTTTGGTCATATATTAAACCTACAATTCTGGTTGTAACCCATGTTGCTTATATGTGAAGGTGGTCATAACTGGAGGGTCCAGTATACTATAGCTGGTGCTTGATTTATAGCCAGCTCCAGGAGGTTATCTTCAGCTTCACCCCAGGAATCTTATGCACCAGCCCAAGTAGCTCATTTACTTCTGTTTTTTTTTTTAGGGGGATCCCCTGCTGTTATGCCTTATCCCTGTAGCTACTGGCACAATGGATTCCCCTCTATAGCTTATATTGGGCATGTCTCAAGCCACAAGGCTTTGCAGTTTGCTTCCAGAGAGCCGAAGCCATGCAAGATAAGTTTGAACCACCACTTGTGACTTCAGCCACAAGTCAATATATGGAAATTGTTCTGGATGTATTAGCTGTTGTCCTTCCTCTCTAGTTGTCACCCAATATACCCTTCCAATCATCCCTTATCTATTGCCCCCTCAGCAGACCACCCTACCTTAAAAGACGGCCAGCTGGTTTCCCAGAGTTGCAACCTCTGGGGCATCAATTTTACTCTGTGTTCCCTGGTATAACTTTTCTTTAAGTTTTTCTTCTTTTAGCACATATTTTAATGGGGTGGGTTTCAATGCTTCTTCTCCCATCTCCACCTAAGTGTGGTGCAATTTACACTCACAGTTACTATCAATCTTCTACAACAAACTTGGCTGTAGCTGCTTGGATTTTAAAGTAGACTTTTCCTCCCTCAGATTGTTACTCTGTAAATTTGACCATTCCCAACAGACCTCTAAGTAAACTTGAATTAGTGCTATTATTTTAAATCAACAAAGAGCAGAGAAAAGTGCAAATTAACCCTGTTTTTGTTGTTATTGGGGTTTTTTTGTCTTTCTGAGACAAGGTTTCACCATGAAGTTCAGGCTGGCCTTGAACTCACAATGATCCTCTGGCCTCAGCCTCCTGAGTGCTGGGATTATAGGCAAATTAACCACACCCAGCAAATTAATCCTGAAATTGCAATTTAAAAATTTGCAATGCACAAGAAATATTTTAAAACACCTCAGCTAAGCAACTCAAGTGGAAACCAAGTAGATTAAAGTTATAATTTGATGTTTCCTGTAAAACCTCCTGAGGCCCAGCTGGACTTTGGCCATTCAGTGCCAAGCTGGCCATGTCTCTTGTATTGTTTCAATTCACACTTGCTCACTTTGAAATAAAAAGATGTCCCCTCCAATCTCAGCAGGCTGGGCCTAACTCTCTCAGCCTTGTGTCTCAGTTTCAGTCCAGCCATCAGACCTGCCCGCTGCTCAGGTATCTTTTAGTCTCAGTCCCCAGCTGAGCCCAGGAGACTTCAGATTCACAGACTTCATTTTGTTCACCCACACTCAATTATATATTTTTCTCAGACTCTTCAGACTCACACACTGATATAGCTCCCCTTTCCCAGTTGTTTTTGTGCAAGTGTTGCAGGCCTAAACCTGCACGGGCCACTCCTGCAATTCTGACACTCCTCACCTTGGGCCACTTCTGTGTTTCCTACTTGACGTGTAGGTTTTATTATTCTTGCTCTGAGTCTGGCTACTCAGTACACAACTGCTCCCCTTGCAAGTTATTAGTTGTTGGTGGGCCTCCCCTACGTTTCACTTGGGGTTATAGGTTTCATCTGACTTGGTTTGGATTGGACTGACCATGATCCTCTCTCCTGACCCACTTCCACACCCCGGCACCCCTTGTGAGCCAATCCTCATTGCAGGCCACTCCTGCTCAGGAATGTTGGTGCCCTCCGATTTTAGTCTGGATCAGATTACTGTGTACTCCCCATGAGATGATCAGGTGCCCCTTCTGTCCTAATGGGACAGATTTTCCTCTTGGGCCCTATACCTTCCTGTGGTTCTGCAGTGTGCTGTTTGGGAGTCGATTGTCACTGTCCTGTTTGCATGGGCAGGAGAGGGCCAGTTCTTTCTCCAAGGTAAGTTTTGGTACCAGAGTCGGTGTTACCAAAGATGGGTCTCCCCTGGCTTGGGGGTCCTCAGCCTGCAGGCAAATGGAGACCAGAAGCCTGTCATCTCCAGTCCTTTCATTCTGCTAGAAAATTTTGTGGATTTCCCAGAAGTTGGAGAGACCAGGAGGGTGTGTGTGGGACCTAACCACTAGAAATGTTCAAAACCAGCCTTGGCCCCAAACCAAGGAGTGATCCCCTTTTATACAATTTGTGGCATCAAGCAAGTAGAGATACAGAAGTGAAATAAAGGCAATCCTAGCAGCTAAACCTATCATATTTTTTCAATCACATGTTTTTTTTTTTTTTTGTCTTTTTCATTTTTATCGGTACCAGGGATCGAACTCACGACTGCCTGCTTGCAATATGCTGCTGAGCTAAATCCCTAGCCCTCGAGGGAGAGAAAGGCTGTTTCTCTCAGAGTTCTGCTTTACTCCAGCTATTCCCGAGCTCCTTTCCTGACAGCAGGGTGGGGATCCCTGGCTCTAGGCTTGGGTCACAAGTGGCCCAGCTAAACTAGACTCCAAGCCCTTCCATCCTCCGAGCAGGGCTGGGGGTGATTGATGAGTTTCCAGTGTGTTCCAGGCAGGGCCTTGGAACTGCTATGGATTGGCCTGGCTTGCAGAAGCCCCAGGTGGCGACTTAGGGCTGAGGCTGACCCATTCACACACCAGGCCCTGGACAGTCCAGGCTTGTGGTCACCTCCCACGCTCTCTGTGTCCTGGGGAGAAATGGCCAGGGGACCATTGGAGCTCAGCAGCAGCCCAGCCTCTTCCTCAAAGGAGTTCTGGGAGAGCAGGTGAGGGTGGTCTGTGGGTCCTGGAGTCCAGCCCTGTGCAGTCCATAGCTCAGTCCCCCTTGTGAACAGGAAAAGGCCCGATGGGAGCTTGGAGGCAGGCAGCATATGAACTAGGGGACATGAAAGGCATAGCTGGAATGAGAACCCAGAGACACTAGCTCAGGGTTCCCTGGCCTTGTGCCAACCATGGTGACACTCACTGGCCACTTTGATGAACCTCTGTCTAATGCTAAGCCACACAGGAGACCCAGATAGGCGTCCTGGCCTCAGGAGCTCCACTTCCAAGAGAACCCCTGCCTCCCACACTATAGAAAGAGAAGGGAGGGCCGGGGACATGGAGGTCCAGCGTTATTTGGGTTCTTCTAGTCCAAGGTCACACATTGGAGTCAGTGACAGAGAGAGGACTGGGCTTCTGACTCCCGAGTTCCTATTTGTTTGTTGTCCTTTGTTCTGGTGATTGCGTCTCTGCCTGTCTGTGGGTCTGTCCTCAAAGCAGCTGCACTCAGGTGAGACTGTCTCAGGACAGTCAGCTGCTGTGGAAGTCACAGCTGAAGCTTTTTCATGGACCAGAGTAGAGGAGGCTGTAGGGCCTGTAGCCAAGGGCTGGGGCCTGAAAGGGGACCTGGCTCCGGGGGAGAAAGCAGACCAGAAGGCCACGGAGCCGCAGCTGCTCAGCATCTTTTCTTCAGTCACATTCTCTTCTCCAATAGCACAGCACTCCCAAAAAACAGAGCTCCTGAGCCCCTGCTGACACAGAGGGAAAAGCACGGACAGACAGACAGACAGACAGACACAGAGCCGTGCACAGGTGCTGGCACGTACACATGGCTTCTGGTGTGAGGCTCAGGCGACTGTGCTGTGGACCATTTCCAGATGCAGCTCTTTCTTCTTGTGGCTCCCCAGGACCCAGCCTAGAGCCTGGCAGAACAAGAGCTCCACGAGGGTGTGTGGAAAGAGTGACCCCGGTGTGGAAGGCCTCAGGGCCAGGCCTCCTCATCTAGTAGTTGGCAGGAGGCAGGAACCCCAGACTGGGTCGGGTGAGGGTGCAGCCTGAGGCAGGATTTGGGCAGCGTCGGTGTGACCTCCAGCACATTCTCTCCTCATCTTCCGCTTCCAACTGGGCCTCTGTCCTTGTGAACAGTAATTCTCACAATATGGTCCAAGAACCAGTAGCTTCAGTATAACACCCGAGAGCTGGACAGAAATGCAGTTTCGGGCACCACTGAGTTGGAAACTGTTGGTGTGGGTCCAGAAATCTGTGATTTAGCAGCCCTCCAGGTGTTTAGTATGCGGGCTAAAATGAGAGAGCAGTGGCCGGACACACAGACAGGCTTACACTGGGGCTGCAAAGCCCAAAGTACAGACAGCTGCTCAAGCCACTGTCTGTTCACCTGTGGAGAGACACTCACCCCGTAGGTGAGATGCATATGTGACCGCCTGGCAGGGGCACTAGGGTCTCTGAGAATAAGCAGCACCTGGGTGGAAGTGGGGAGCTGCAAGATAGAGCTGTTCTCCTCAGGTGACAACCTGTGCCCCACAATTCCTTTGTCCTTTGCCCTCTTAAGGTTCCCCGAGTGCTCCATGGGAGCACTGGGAGGCCAGAGAAGCTGAGCCTTGTCCAGCTGAGACAGACACACCCAGCCGAGAGGCTCGGCTTGTGTTCCGAAGGGAGTGTGGGGTATGTGCTAAGAACAGCAAAGTCTTTCCCTGAGCAGCCGGGCCGGGGCCAGGGAATGCAGGGATAGGCGAGCGGCACTTAGGCAAGAGCACATCAAGCCTAAAGCCCTGAAATGCTGCCCGGCTGGAGAATTCCTCTTGGCCCTTTCCCAGGGCTGTTCCAATGCCCAGCCCACAGCCTAACCCCTGTCTGCCCTGGCCAGGAGAGCCCTGGGCAGCTGCCCACCTGGGCCATTGCAGGCCCCACAGCATCTGCCCCTAAAGATCCGGATGTTTAGTCCTGGCTTCTGGGAGCTGCAGGGGGCGTGGGGAGGGGAGGAAGGCTCAGCTCAGATCTGGTTTCTCTGCTTCCCATGGCTGCCTGCCACAGGCTGAGCCACCAGCTGGGCTATATAAGGCCCGCAGCTGGACCGCTGCAGTAGTGAGGACTCGGACCCCCAGTGAAGGAGACCTGCTCAGCACTGGTGAGCTCTATTCCCAGGTCCCTCACCCCATCCTTGCACCCCATGCCTGGCTTAGCTGCTTCGGCTCTCCCCTGACCACCCCATTTCTTGTTTTTTTTTTTTTTTTTTTGCTGGCTGACCCTCATTTCCAATGAAAAGACTTCCCTTTCTACTTTGGAGTTCTCTTTTCTCCCTGAGTCCCCCAAGTCCTCTTCCTGTCTCATCTGTCATCAGGAACCCCACAGATGGCTCCACTCCAGGTCTCTGTACCTAGGGGGTGCCCTGCATTCTTCTTATGGCCGGCCAGCATTCATGGTCCAAGAGCTCGGATGAGCGTGGGCTGGGGAGCCTGAGCGTCAGACATATTCTGCAGAATGGTGGGAGGCTGAGAAAACTCCACTGGCTGTAGGATGGGAAATGGTTTTTCCAAAAGGTGCCCCAGGCCACCTCAGCTCCTTTCAGATCACTGCAGCGGGCTTAGGCTAAGTGCTGTGCAGGTCTGCAGGCCACTCAGCCCCAACTCAGAGCCCAGGGCTAGAGGTGAGTCCTACACTCCCTAGAGATCCAACCTCCGGGTGACTTGTTCCTGGACTGACAGGGGACGAGGAGGGTTAGCAGTTTTAGGGCTAGATGGTCCCCATGTGGAATTGTTTGTTCCTTCCCCAGGGGCATTCAAGAGTTTCTGGATCTTTTTTCCAGAGCAGAGAAGTCTTCCTTTCCCTATCATACTCCAGACTTTGGGGATTGAAGGAAACCATTTTGGGGGGGGGTCTCCAGGAACTGATCAGACTTTGGGCTGGCCAGAGCTCCGGGGAGAGAAGAGAATGTCCTATCGAGCAAATGTCCGGCCACACATGCCCTGTGGTTCTTTAACCTGCATTACCATGCCCATGTTCCTCTCCACACCCTGCAGCCCCTAGCCATGCTCAGCAGGTAGTGGGGAGCCCTGGCCTCTCACACTGCACCCCCTCTACTTTCCCTCAACTGGTTCCTGGCTGTGGAATTCCCAGCCAGGCCCCAAGCAAGCAAGCAAAATGCATTCCAGCTGTGGCCCGTGCACATCTGGGAATGTATTCTTGGAGGTGATGCATCTGAGCCATCTATGCCTCCAGCCTGCCTGCCTAGGAGGGGCCACTAGCGTCGTTGACAGTCCCGCCTGGCCTTAAAATATAGCTCCCTGTGTAAGTGTGTGAGCCCCACCAAGGGCCAGCCGGCCACCACCCCCGAAGCCTGGGCCTTGATCTGAGGCTGGTCCTGGTGAGCCGTGGTCCCTGTCATTGGCAAGGAACCTCTTTGCTTCCCTCTGCCCTTATGCTCCAAGTGGGACCCTGGGTCAGCCTCTGTGAACTCAGATTCAGAGCCTCTGCATCTCCCAAGCTGCTCAGTTTTCCAAATTGAGCAGATACCACACTTGTGAGATACCATGCTGTCCACCGTTCTGTCCTCAGTGGGTCAAGAAATACTTCTGTTCTAGTCATTAGGCCTGACTCAGAATTGCGGGGTCTGACGAGCTTGGTTTCTTTGTAGGTCATCAGATCCAAGGAATCTCTCAGGACACCGCATCCCGGAGGCGAGCTGGCTTGGTGAAGCCTTCCCACCCTCTCTTGCCACGTTCCCACAGGGCTGGGGGAAGATGAAGGGGGCCAAGGCCTGGCTGTTCTCTTTCTTGGTCTTGCAAGTAGCCTCTGTGTCGGGTATGGGCTGAGTATCTGCTACCTCCCAAATTTGTCACGTGCCATAGTGAAGTCATGTCTGGTCTGGGACCCATCTGTGCATCTCCCTTAGCACAGTAATGGCATTACGACCTGGGGCTATTTGATGAATTTATTTTAGATAGTTCCCAATTTATCCCCCCTGGTACTTGGGATAGAACCTGGGACCTTTGCACTGAGCTAAATTCTTGTTCCTTTTCAAATTTTTTTTTTTTTTTAAATTTTGAGACAGGGTCTCACTAACTTGGTCAGTTGCCCAGGCTGGGCTTGAACTTGCCATCCTCTTGCCTCAACCTCCCAGAATGCTAGAGTAACAGGGGTGCACCACCATACCCAGCTGATAGTTCACAGCACAGAAATTTTTAAATGAGTCGAGGAATGAACAGAGGGACAAGAATAGATAGGAGATCTACGCCCCTGAGTACTAAATTTAGCTCTGTGCTTCCCGGTAGCCAAAGCAAAAGGGAGTGGGGCGGGGGCCCTGAGGGGTCAGGAAGGAGATGGGCTTTGGTCTGTTTTTAGTTTCATAAGGATTCTTCTGGCCTAAAGCTCAGTTTCGGGGAGACCAAATTTCACAGAACTGCCAGAACCCCTCTAGTTTCCTTGCCCTCTGACCCTGTCCCTGTCCACAAAGAGCAGGGAGAGAGACTTTGCCCGCCATCTGGTGGAGGCATCAGAGGCTCACTGGCCCCACCATACACTGGCTCCCACCTCTCCTTCCTCTCCTCATTCCCAACCTCTTGAAACCCTCTTCTCCAGTGGCATCCTCCAGGGCCGGGGATATAGCTCAGTAGCACAGCGCTTGTCTGGAGAGTGTGAGGTTGTGAGTTCGATCCCAGTACAAAAAGCAAAACAAAAAAGAACCAAAACCCCAAATTAAGTGGCAACCCCTGAGACTGGCTTTGTGTGCACAGATGGAAGAACAAAAGCTGTCACCCTGCATCGCAGCACTGGGTGTACCCACCCGCCTCCCGATAGACCCTACCCTTGACCTGGACAGCTGCTGTTCTGCAAATGATTAACATTCAACCATCTGATGGGAAATCAGATTGGCTTGATTAAAAGAGCTCCTATCACCCCAATTAAGCAGCTCAGAGTTCTGATTTGGCTCCTCGCCTGGGAGTTAATTGCCTTTCAAGATGTTCATGGACCCCTGCTCCCCGCACCTTCCAGGGCTGGGGGTGCAGGACTGCAACTGCTTATGGCCTCCGGACACTGGGTTTATCCCCAAGAGAACCCCACAGCCTGAGGCCAAAGAATCAGGGAACAGGAGTCTGTCTCCGAGGGAAGGGAGAGGGATGTCTATGGGGCCAGGTATTCAGCTAAAGGGAGTGGCTGATGTTTCTAGGCTGACTGTTAAGTGGTTTTTATCAATGAGATTTTGTAATTCCCAAAGTCCTCTAAGTCAGGAACCATGACCTCATTTTATGAAGAGAGAACATGGGGCCAGATGGGCTGGGTGTTGCGGTGCCCTCATCGTAATAGACTTGTGGCGTGTTGATGTTTATACTACGGAACGCTCTGGCCAGAATGGCCCTCTATGGTGGCAGTCAGTACCTCTGTTTCACCTACAGCTCTCTCTTGCCAAGAAATACTTTCCAGAGGTGAGTGCTGTATTCACCAAGCATGCACCCCATGCTGGTTCCCTTTGTATTCCTTATTGTCCCAAATAATGCACCAACTTTACACCAACTGTACGCCATTGTGATTTTTTAATGTATCTCTAAGGCAAAACAGGAATACAGTCTTTCTGAGACTGCACAGCAGTAAGTGGCAGAGTGGTGATTCGAATCCGTGGCTAGAGCTTGTGTTCCATCCAGCACACCATACTGCTTTCTTGCATTTTGAGGGGTTCCTGGTTCATCCTGGCTCCTCGATCAGCTGCTTCTTCTCCTGGCCCTCAGGGAGGCAGACAGTGCTCACTCAGGCAGTGAGAAGAGTCCAGCCCGGGAAGAGGACCACCGGCACCTTTGCCAAGCCTGCTGTCACCCAGGAGAGTGAGTTGTGGCTGGAGTAGGGAGGGCCAGGAGGGCTGGGCTTTTACCGACCTTGCAAAAGGGATCTCTGAAGTTGGAGCGTGACATCAAGGTTTCATGGAAGCCACTTTCATGAGGCATTTGGCAGAGACATTGTATAGGATGGCTCAGAATCGGGAAGCTGCCTGCTGTCTTCCTGGGGCTGCAGCATGTGTTGGTGGGGAGGGAAGTGGGAGATGAGGATGGAAAGATAGAAGAGGTCAGCTTGCCAGCACCCCAATGTTTTGCAAAGGGATGTCTTTTTGTTTTTTTGTCTTTTTCCTTCTTATCGGTACCGAGGATTGAACTCATGACTGCCTGCTTTCAAGGCAGGCGCTTATGCTAAATCCCCAGCCCCAAGGGATGTCTTTTGTATGCATGTGTTTTGAGGTACTGCATGTGGATTGATTGAACACGGGCCTTTGCACTGTGTTACATTCCCTAATCTTTTTAATTTTGTAAATTTTGAATCAGGGTCTCATTAAGTTGCTAAATTGCTCAGACTAGGCTCAAACTTATGACCTTCCTGTCTTAGCCTCCCAGAACACCTGGTGTATAACCACCAGGATTACAGGTGTGCACCATCACACTTAGCTGCTAAGGGATCATAAAACAGAAGGGTGGTATGTGTAGTTCAAACTTCATGGAGAAATCTCACCTGGCCTACAGTGCTAGGGAGGTGGCGTGTGGAGGAAGGGAGAGCCTTGGAGCAGAGAAGCCAGGCAGGGGCTTCCTGGCGAGGTTCTGCCAGGCTGCTGAGGTCCCTGCATTGTGGGCCATGGGAAGGACTGGAGAGAGGCTGAGGGTGGACACAAGTTTGACAGGGCCTGAGATGGCCAGGGGCAGGTGAGTTGTACCAGGGAAGACTCCCTGGCCTAAGCAGGAAGGAGTACCGAGCTCCCCTGTTCTCCCAGGGATGGCTGCTCCCCAACCCGCCCTATCCTTCAGGTCCCGGGGAGTGGACAGCGTGGTTCAACATTGACCACCCAGGTGGGAAAGGCGACTTTGAACGGCTGGACGCCATTCGCTTCTACTACGGGGAACGCGTGTGTGCCCACCCGCTGCGGCTGGAGGCCCGGACCACTGACTGGATGCCCGTGGGCAGCACTGGTCAGGTGGTCCACAGCAGTCCCCGCGAGGGCTTCTGGTGCCTCAACCAGGAGCAGCGACTTGGCAGGAACTGCTCCAACTACACAGTGCGCTTCCTCTGCCCGCTGGGTGAGACCTACAGGAATCTCCTGTTTGTGCTTCAGGGATAGAGTTTTCTTTAGTTCTTAGGCTCAGTTTCTCACTCAGGCAATAGCACTAAGAGTAAATCCCATAAAAGTTTTTGATGAGGTGTCAGTGAAAGCATGAATGGAGAAGGTGGGGCCCCGATTCACAAAGTGCTGGTTCCTGTTACTGTTGCTACATACCAGATGCTGTTCCTATTCCCTCTTTTCCACTGGCCTTGGCACCACGGCTGTCTTGGCAGGTGCATGGCATGCTGGGAAGCCAGGTAACATCTTGAGATGCCACAGTGAATAAACGCAGAGCTGGCGTCTGTACCCTGTCTATGTTTGCAGAGTCTGTGTCCTTGGCATCGTATCCTGCAGCACTTGGGCACCAGCTGCAGGCCCACTCCTCTTTAGGGTGGCATGGCCTGATGCTGACCTGGAGAGGTCATGGGGGCATGGGGACTTAGGCTGCTCTTCAGCCTCAGACTGGAGGGAAGGAGTGGGCAGAGGTGACTGGAGCCCAGCTCACCACAGGCCCTGGCCTACAGGAAAAGGAAGGTGGTACTGTCCCTGCATATCCTAGGATGGTAAGTCAAATCTCAGGGCTTGACAAAAAGCCCCCTCAGTGCCACTTTGAGAGAGAGGTTAGATCATCACTGATCTCATTTTGCAGGATCCCTACGCCGGGACACAGAGCGCATTTGGGGTCCCTGGTCTCCCTGGAGCAAGTGTTCGGCTCCCTGTGGTCATATGGGGGTCCAGACCCGCACACGCACCTGCCTGGCAGAGATGGTGTCATTGTGCAGTGAGGCTGCCGAGGAGGGCCGGCTCTGTGAGAACCCAGATTGCCCAGGTACCGCCCTCCCTCCGACGCCAGGCCTGGCATGGTGGGTTAGGCTGAAGCAGCCTGAAAGGATGAGCAGCTAAGATTCCCTCCCCAAGTATTAACTGAGTCACTACCATGTGCTCCAATGGGACTGTAGGTGATCATAGCTTAGAGAAATCCAGAAAGGCTCCCTCAAGGAGTGTTCTGGGCTCAGACAATGAGTAAGAGTCAGCCCAATAGGCTGATACTGAAGAGTGACAAACGGTAAAGGGAGGTCCATGTGAGTCTACAGGCTGGGGCGCAGTGAAGGAGAATCAGAATCCACATACGCCTTTCTGATGCAGCTCCTTGGACCACAGCCTGTGACCTGACCTGCCCCATGGGCCGGGCAAATGCCGAGTGTGATGCCTGCATGTGCGAGGACTTCGTGCTCCATGGGGTTGTCTCCCTCTCTGGAGGTGACCCAGCTGTGGGGGCCACTGTCTACCTGCAGACCAAGGTGCTGAAGATGCTGACCAAGACAGACAGCAGTGGCAGGTTCCAAGTCCCTGGCTTGTGCCCTGATGGCAAAAGCAAACTGAAGATCATGAAGGCCAAGTTCGTACCCATTGTGCTCACGATGCCCAGGACTAGCCTGAACTCAGCCACCATCAATGCGGAGTTCGTGAGGGCAGGTAAGAAGCGCTCTAGGTGTGAAAAGCTGGCTTCCTGCCTTAGCCAGAGTGAAACCCCAAGTCTTCAGTGTGGCTCACAGGCCTCAGTAATCTGACCCTCCCTATTTTTCTTTCATTCATTCTTCCTTTCCTTTTTTATTTTCCTGTCTTTTTGAGACAAGGTTTCATTAGGCAGTTGAGGCTGGCCTTGAATTCACCCTTTGTAGCCCAGGCTGGCCTCAAACTTGAAATGATCCTCCTGCCTCAGCCTCCTGAGTGCTCCGATTACAGGCAATGTGCCATCACACCTGGCTGTTTTCTTTTCTCATTGCTCTTTGCACATGGAGTCACTCCTCTCCAGCCACAAAGGCTTCCTAGCAGTCCTCAAATACAGATGTAACATCTGCTTCAGGGCTTTTGCACTTGCTGTATGTATTCAGCATGGCATGTTTTTTCTGCAGATGCTGAAGGTCTTGTTTCTAATGGATGAGGTCTTTGCAGACCGCTTTATCTAAAACAGCGTATTACAATACAGTGTGAGCACTGGAGGTCTTGGGGGGGTGGTGTGTGGAGAGCTCAAAAATGGTGCAGAGTAGCCAAAAGAAAAGTTGCCAAGGGCAGCAGAACACCAATATCTCACTATTCAAAACAGCCAGTCAGACATCACATCTGTCACAAGGTCCCTGGTCCAAATGGTGAAAAGGGGATCTCCACTGTGGCTTTAATCCCATGAGTTTTAGGAGCATTAGAGATGGGCTGGGTGGGGGATGGGGAGCCACAAAATTCAAATAACATAAAGAACTCATCTCAAAGGCAAAAAACCCCCCAAAAAACAAAAAACACTGTTTCTCATCTGGTGTCCCAGAGACTCCCTACATTGTGATGAACCCTAAGACCAAAGCCCGGCGGGCCGGACAGAGCGTGTCCCTGTGCTGCAAGGCCACTGGGAAGCCCAATCCAGACAAGTATTTCTGGTACGTTTTCCGCTGGCCCCTGCCCACCCCTCTTCCGGAAACCAGAGCTTTCTGCAGCAATTACCAATAGGCTGGCGCTAAACCTAAACCTGGCACAGAGCCTGGGTGTCCACGTTGACTGGTGCAGCCAGCGGAGTGGAAGCTGCCCAGCATGGAGCCCCCCCCCCCCCAGCTGGCTCACCCCTCACCTTTAACAGCCCCTCTCTTGCATGACAACCCCTACAACACCGTAAGGTCAGCTGGAGCCCATGAGGGCCGTTGTATAGACCAGGAAGCGGATGCTGAGATCCACAGCTGTCTAAGCGGTGGGGCTGGGCCTCAGAACCAAAGCCCCTGACTCTCCCGGCTGCTCTGTGCGAAGGGGCTGAGGCCAGTGCGGGGTGAAGTTTCTGCACAGGCAGAAACAAGACTGCATTCCCCCACTACCATTGCCCCTCAGGTGCCTCCTCTCTGTGCCTCACAGGTATCACAATGACACGCTGCTGGATCCCTCTCTTTACAAGCACGAGGGTAAGCTGGTGCTGAAAAAGCTGCGGCCTGAGCAGGCTGGAGAGTATTTCTGCAAGGCGCAGAGCGACGCGGGAGCTGCCAAGTCCCGGGTCGCCCAGCTGTCGGTCATAGGTGAGCCTCTCTGGGTTCCCGGGGGATTTCCGGGCTGCAGCAGAGCTGGCGGAGCAGCGGGAGGATTGTAACTTGGCAGTGAGCGCTTGGGCTTCTCTGAGCGTTGCACAATGCTGCACCCTCTGGTGATCACCCTGAGGTGGTGGAGACCTGAATCCATTTGAGGAGAAGTGAAGAAATATAAATAAAAAGCCCGAAATTTTTAGGTAAAACAGGAGAGAAGGGACATAGACAGATTCCTCCCACAGCAGCTTTCAGCTAAGGCTAACACTGTGGTTTTTCAGCCTTAGCTGCCCTTTGACACATCTACTGATAATTTCAAAAAATACTGAAGCTTCTGCCTCACCCTGGGAGTGTCTGATTTAATATGGGATGTGGCCTGGGCATGCATGGTTTCAAAGATGCCTGGGTGATTCTCATTTACAAAGTTGCAAACCACTGGTCTGAAAGAGAGGGCAGGAACTGTGTGTGGAGTTGTTCCAGGCTGAGGCACCAGCATGGACTAAATCAAACACTCAAGTGGGGAACCCGAGGGCTTCATAAGAAAAGATGACTTAGCTAGATATGGTAGCACATGCCTATAATCCCAGAACTCTGAAGGGTGAGGCAGGAAGGTTGCTGCAAATTCAAGGCCAGCCTGTACTACATAGTAAGACCCTGTTGCCAAAAAATCAGATTAAAAAACAAAATAACAAACAAACTGAGGGTAATCTAGTCAGGCTTGATGGCACAGCCCTGTAATCGCAACACTCTGGGAAACTGAGGCAGGAGGATCTAAGATTGGGAATTTGAGCCTAGCCAGGGTGATTTAACAACTCAACAAGACTTTATCTCAAAATTTTAAAAATGGGCTCAGTGTAAAGGTTTTGGGTTCAATCCTCAGTAGGGATCCTCCTACACACACACAACAAAACAAGCCTAAAACAGAACAATACCGCCCCCACACACAGGCACATAAAACAAACACAAAAGGGAACCTGATTACAGCTGACTTATAGAAGAAGACTGGAGAGGAAGAGATTTGAGGCCACAGGCCTGCTGGAAACCTGTCCTTGGAAAGCAAGGGGAAAAGAAGGTATCTTAGCAACTGGCCTAAACAAAACCCAGCAAAAAACAGAGGTAGTGAGTATGACTGAAAGAACTCTGGAATATCACACAGACTTCTAGACCAACAGAACAAAGAGACTTTGGATCTCAGCAGAGAAGATGTGCAGCACCCAGGTTTTTTGCCCTCACACCAGTGCTCCCCTGTTTGGTGCAGTAATTTTTTAAAAAAAAACCAGATCTCTCTGTATAGATTAGACCAGCCTTTAATTCAAACGATAGTCCAGATGGTCTCAAATTTGCCATCCTGCATCAGCCTCCTGAATGCTAGGATTACAGATATGTGCCACCACACCTGGCCAGCATAGTGACTTTAAAAATAAAGTTGAAGGGCCCGGGATTTAGCTCAGCGGCTTAAGCATCTGCCTGGTAAGCATGAGGTCATGAGTTCGATCATCGGCACCAAAAAAAAAAAAAAAAAAAGAAAAAAATTGACTAAAGTTCAATTTATAGATAATAATTACATAGAATTTCTAAATTTATAAGCATGTGGTCCTAATTATGACATAAAGGAGAAATAAAGCTAGGAGTGGTGGTATATACTAGCAATCCTAGCATTTAGAAGGCTGATGCAGGAGGATTACCATAAAAATCAAGGCTAGCTGAGGCCATACAGTGAGTTCAAGGCCAGCCTGGATTATGAAGCAAGACCCTGTCTCACAAAACAAAATGAGAGAGACAGAGACAGAGGGAGACACACTATAATACAAAAAGTATTGCAGTATCTAAACACCTTGGCACAATGACACAGATAAACCAAGAAGTCGGTTTGCACTTGAATCCAGAGTAATGACAAATGTGATAGCTACAAATGCCAGGTCACATTGATCAGTCTGAAATGAGAGAATATTCTTGGTATTCCAAGTGAAATGAAGTGTGAGATTGATTCATGTGTTAGCTGTATTCTTGAAAACTTCAGTGTGTGGTTGAGGCCATGGAACAAAATACCAGGCCATAATCACTTTAAAGAGGTTTTCTGCTCTATAAGAATCTCCCACTGGGTGTGTAAAAATTGTGCAGGATGCAGAAAAATTCTTCCAGTGGGTTTGGGCCAGGCACTGCAGGCTATGAAGCATCAGGTGGCATGTCCTCAGCCCCCGGCCCCTGTATCCTGTAGCACTTGTGATCTTTGTGATAACCCCCAAAACACCCTCACACACTTTCAGCCCCCTTCATAGAGAACCACTATCTTAAGGTCCTCAGCAGCCAGTTCCATTTCCCCATGTGTAAGGTAAGAATGATCATAGCCGCCCTGCCTCTCTGCCAGAGCTCTGTGAGAAGCAAGGTCACAGTTACCCAAGTCCTTGGACCCTGTAGAGAGGTGACATTGAGGTAGCCCGTGTAGGATGTGAACTTGTATCTTAACTTCCGCCTGGTTTCTTCCTCAGCCCTAGATGAGAGTCCTTGCAACCCGACCCCTGAGAGCTACCTTATCCGGCTACCCCATGACTGCTTCCAGAATGCCACTAACTCCTTCTACTATGATGTGGGCCGCTGTCCTGTTAAGACCTGTGCCGGGCAGCAGGATAATGGGATGAGGTGCGAGGATGCCGTGGAGAACTGCTGCGGTATCTCCAAAACAGAGGAGAGGGAGATCCAGTGCAGCAGCTACACACTGCCCATCAAGGTGGCCAAGGAGTGCAGCTGCCAGCGGTGCACAGAGACGCGGAGCATCGTGCGGGGCCGCGTGAGCGCTGTGGACACCGGGGAACCCATGCGCTTCGGCCATGTATACATGGGGGGCAATCGTGTGAGCATGACCGGCTACAAGGGCACTTTCACCCTGCACGTCCCACAGGACACAGAGAGACTGGTGCTCACCTTCGTGGACAGGCTACAGAAATTTGTCAACACCACCAAGGTGCTGCCCTTCAACCGGAAAGGGAGCGCGGTGTTCCACGAGATCAAGGTGCTTCGGCGAAAGGAGCCCGTCACGCTAGACGCCATGGAGACCAACGTCATCCCCCTGGGAGAGGTGGCTGGCCAGGACCCCATGGCCGAACTGGAGATCCCATCTGGCAGCTTCTCCAAGCAGAATGGAGAGCCCTACTCGGGAAAGGTGAAGGCCAGTGTGACCTTCCTGGATCCCCGAGATCTTTCCACAGCTGCAGCCACCCAGAGTGACCTGAGCTTCATCAATGATGAAGGGGACACCTTCCCCCTGAGGACGTACGGCATGTTCTCTGTGGACTTCACAGACGAGGCCACCTTGGAGACCCTGAATGCCGGCAAGGTCAAGGTCCACCTAGACTCGACCCAGGTCAAGATGCCAGAACACGTGTCTGCCATGAAACTCTGGTCACTCAACCCAGACACAGGGCTGTGGGAGGAAGAAGGTGATTTCAAATTTGAACGCCAGAGGAGGAACAAAAGGGAAGAGAGAACTTTCCTGGTGGGCAACATGGAGATCCGAGAAAGGAGGCTCTTCAACCTGGATGTCCCCGAGAGCAGGAGATGCTTTATCAAGGTGAGGGCCTACCGGAGTGAGAGGTTCCTGCCCAGTGAGCAAATCCAGGGTGTTGTGGTCTCTGTGATCAACTTGGAGCCCAGAACAGGCTTTTCGTCCAACCCTCGGGCCTGGGGCCGCTTTGACAGTGTCCTCACAGGTCCCAACGGAGCCTGTGTGCCTGCCTTCTGTGATGACCAGGCCCCTGACGCCTACTCCGCCTACGTCCTGGCGAGCCTGGGCGGGGAGGAACTGGAAGCAGTGGAGTCTGCTCCTAAATTCAACCCCAATGCCATTGGTGTCCCTCAGCCCTACCTCAACAAGCTCAAGTATCGTCGCACGGACCACGAGGACCCTCGGGTGAAGAAGACGGCCTTCCAGATCAGCATGGCCAAGCCAAGGCCCAACTCCACTGAGGAGAGCAATGGTCCCATCTACGCCTTTGAGAACCTCCGGGCCTGTGAGGAGGCACCGGCCAGCGCGCCCCACTTTCGTTTCTACCAAATCGAGGGGGATCGTTATGACTACAACACGGTTCCTTTCAACGAAGATGACCCCATGAGCTGGACTGAAGATTACCTGGCATGGTGGCCCAAGCCGATGGAGTTCAGGGCCTGCTACATCAAAGTGAAGATCGTGGGGCCGCTGGAGCTGAATGTGCGGTCCCGCAACATGGGGGGCACCCATCGGCGGACAGTGGGGAGGCTCTATGGAATCCGGGACGTGAAGAGCACCCGGGACAGGGACCAGCCCAACGTCTCAGCCGCATGTCTGGAGTTCAAGTGCAGCGGGATGCTGTACGACCAGGACCGCGTGGACCGCACCCTGGTGAAGGTCATCCCTCAGGGCAGCTGCCATCGAGCCAACGTGAACTCCATGCTACATGAGTATCTGGTCAACCACCTCCCACTGGTGGTCAACAATGACACCAGTGAGTACACCATGCTGGCGCCCCTGGACCCACTGGGCCACAACTATGGCATCTACACGGTCACAGACCAGGACCCTCGTGTGGCCAAGGAGATTGCCCTTGGCCGGTGCTTCGATGGCAGTTCTGATGGCTCCTCTAGAATTATGAAGAGCAATGTGGGTGTGGCCCTCACCTTTAACTGTGCAGAGGGGCAGGTGGGCCGCCAGAGTGCTTTCCAGTATCTCCAAAGCACCCCAGCCCAGAGCCCTGCTGCAGGAACCCTTCGAGGAAGAGTGCCCTCCAGGCGGCAGCAGCGGGCCAGTAGGGGTGACCAGCGCCGGCAGGGAGGGGCCGCCTCCCTGTGACTTCCTGGAGTTGCTCAACAGCCTCTGAGCAGCTGTCTGTGGTTCATCACACTCCTTCCCACCTCCTGTGACAAGAGGACTGATGCATGTGCCGTCGTCATTCGGTTAATTTAAACACACGTGTTGTGGTTCAGTTTGCCTGTTTGTTTCTTCCTGTCTGTGTCCCACGATACCAACTGGCACATAGCCCCCAACATGACCAAATAGAGCCCTTTGGTGTTTTTCCCAGAAAAAGAACGTTGGCCCCTGGTAAAACTCCACAGCTGTGTTCTTCCTTTAGTGCCATGAATGCGAGTGTGCTTCCTGTTCCTTTTGCATGGTTTTTCTCACTTCTATTATAACAATGACAATTTGATACTGAAGATGAAATAACCAATATAAAGCATAGTTCTTGGCCCTGCTCCATGGGATGTGAGCAAGGCCTCATCAAAGCTGATACATATAAGTGGCAGTGAAATAAAGAAATAAATGACACCCTTTTGACTGGAAATGTAAATAACTTATTTATTTCATTGGCTGACATTTGGAACCCCATGTACATTTAAAGAGAAGGTATTGAATATAGGGTAATCATAGTTCCTCTTCCACATCTGCAAAGAGCATCTCTGGGTTACAGTAGGTTGCTAACGGTTTAGTACGATTCCCTTTGAGTTTGCTTTTACTCTTGCTGGAAGCTCAGTGTCACCTAGAGCACGGGTCAATAAACGCACTTTCCATACTTTGATTTTGAAGTCACTGTCCTGTCTTTTAACCGTGTAAATGAGCCAGCTGCTCAGGTAGGCACAGGGGCCTGGAGAGCAGTCACAGGTGGTATGTGGTCCAGCGTTCCTAAGTTTACAGGGCTGGGCAACTGGACACAGGCTCCGGCAATCAAGTTTGTTCTCACGGATCATATTTTCCATTTGCAAGGAAGAGCAGAGGTGCCTGAGTTGTGAACATGTTCTGGGCTCCTGAGCAAAACTAAAAATATGTCCTGATTTGTGTCTTTCTTTCCAGTACCGTGGAGCTTAGACAAGAGCTTGACCCAGAGTGTGGCAAGCTGGCTAAGTGGTCCTTTGGCATCTTCCTCCAGCTGGGCTGGCTGACCGTCCTCCCTGTGAGGATCAATCTCTCTCCACTTTTCTCTCTTCCTTTTCCTCATCCTCTTCTAAACACACTCAACTTTCCTCCAGAGAAAAACAAATGTCCCTATCCCTGGAGTAAAACAACTGGCCAAAGGGGCAGGATTTTGTTTTGCAAAAAGGTATTTATTTTAAAATAGTAGGTCAGAGGCTGGTTGTGGTATCAGAACAATCTTGGAGGCTTGGACAGTCGGGGCTGGGAAGGCAAAAGGTGCACTCATGCTCCTCTCTCAGCCCGTCCAGCGCTGTCAGGAAGGGGGACTGGAGAAGGCCCTGTGGACAACCCAGACAAAAGCTTTTCTCACCCACAGCCACGTCTGGGCTGTGCCAGATTTGTCCTCTTATGTAAGCAGCAGCCCTGATCCTTGGAGTGCAGTGTGTAATCAGAAACTTTTCTGGCTGAGCACCCCATCCCCACAGCTGAGGACTGGTGTGTGTGGCCTTTCAATTGCAGCAGGACCCACTTCGGGTCTCCACATCCTCCCTTCTGTTCCCAGGAAATAGCTCTCACTGATAGCAGGGCTGTGGGTTGTCTGAATGGCTATGGCCAAGGGGTCAGTGTTCAGCAATCCAAGGATGTGTGCTCTGGCCTGATCAGGCCCTTGCCACCCTCTGAGAGGTGCTGGGAAGGTGGTCCCACCCCCATGTCCGTCCCTTTCTGTCCCCAAACAAGGGCCTGGATAAAGGAGCCCTGGTAGGCAGCACCTAGTACGCGTGACTCCTTTTTTCATTCACCATACAGCTCTCCAGTGTCTATTAGATGCCAGGCCACACGTGCCAGCAGACAGACCTTTATGTGACAGGATAAAACCTACTACTATCACGTTGAACCAGTGACACCCAGTTACTCAGCATCTTGCTTTCAAAGCCAGATGTGCTACTTGCTAGCTGTAAGGTCCCTCAGACCTCAGTCTCCTTGCCTATAAACAGAGGGGATGGTTCTAGAGTACTCTGAAGTCCTGAGGGGGTTTGCAGGGAGGTGACAGGCAGGACACTGTGAGTGCTATTTCTGGTTCCTCTGGTTGGACCCAGCCCTCTGAAGCCCTAGGATTCAGCTTGCTGTCCAGTGACTGATCCCCCCACTACCCAAAAGTCTAGCAAGATGGATCCCAATGGTAGGCAGGGAAGGCACGGGCAGTAAACTAGAGGGCTGCGGCTGCTTACAAGTAGAGATTTTCCAGATAATACTCTGCAGAGTTTGGAGAGCTACGAGAAGTAGCTGGGGTGATACAGAAAAAAATCACCTGGGTGTCTGGGCAAAATCAGAGTCTGGAAGGATTCAGAAGATTAAAGCAAAATGGGAAGCAGCATGAGAAGATGGGTGGGGCTTCCAGCAGAGACTGGTTTGAGTCAAGGAGCACAGGTGGGAACTGTACCCGGGGAAGCTTTTGTTTGCAGCACTGGGGATGAACTCATGCCTTTGCACTTAGCGACACACCTGCCCTTTTTATTTATTTATTTTTAATTTTGAGACAGAGTCTTCTGAAATTTCCCAGGTTGGGCTCCAAATTGCCACCCTCTTGTCTCAGTCTCTCAGAGTGCTGGGAATAGAAGGATGCGACACCTCACCCTGCTGAATGTCCTGATCAGAAGTAACAGGGTGCCAGCTCACCTCAGGAGGGACTAGAAGCAGAAGCCTCAGAGCTATCAGATTCCAGGCCATTATCTCCTTGTTTCTAGTCCCTTATCCACTCTCATACTCACTGGTTTCTGCTCTCTCAATCCTGTACTCAGTCTTACTCCATCTCTCAGACTCTCTGACTTGATTTCTCTGTTTCTCCTCTTTCTAGGTTCCTCTCTGGTTGGTTGGTGTCAGTCTTCCTCTCATGATGATGGTCTCTCTCTCCCTGGGTTCTAACCTCTCTATGTCCTCCCCACCGAGCTCTTTCTTGCAGATTGAATTTGACTGGCCCAGTTTGAACTAGGTCCCTATCTCTGCCCAGTTCCCTGTGTTCACGCCAGGTGAGGGCCATAGAGGGCATTCAGTTGTGCAGTCAGATTCCTTCAGTGGTGGGGGAGGGAGACTCTGGCTGGTCCACCCTCACGACCGTCCTGCTTCAGCCTCTCAAGTACTGGGATTACAGGCACGTGCAACTATATCCAAACACAGCTTGATGACCATTTTTCTCTGTCTTGAAGAGTAGCTCAGTGGTGGGGCACTTGCTTAGCATGCATGAGGCCCTAGGTTCAATCCCTAGCACCGCAAGAAAAAAAATTAAGGTCATTCTATTCAAGTGGTATCTTATTGTGGTTTCGATTTGCATTTCCCTAGTGTTTAATAATGCTGATAAAAAGGTTGAGCATCTTTTTTTTTAAAAAAAGATCTTTTCACCAGAAATGGATCATTTCTACATTTGGAGAAATGTCTACTCAAATCCCTTGCCTAAATCAGGTGCAGCATCTCATGTCACCCGGCACTCAAGGAGGCAGAGACAGGAGGATTGAAAGTCTGAGTCCCACCTGGGCAACTTAGTAAGACTTTGTCTCAAAAGAAAAAATAAATGAGGGGCTAGGGTATAGCTTAGTGGAAAACCGTCCCTGAGTCCAGTCTCCTAGTATTATACACACACACACACACACACACACACACACACACACCTCTTATCCATGTAAAAAATTGAGCTGTCTTTTTATTTTAGAGTCCTAAGAGTTCTCGCTATATGGTGACTACCATTAGATCCTTATCAGCAGGTGACTTGCAAATATTTTTCCCTCTATAGATTCTTTTTTCACATTCTTGATAATTTCCTTCGAAGCACAAAGTCTATACTTTCTTTTTTCTTCAGTGCTTATGCTTTGGGTGCCCAAGCGCCTGTTACTTAATCCAAGGTCCTAAAGACTTAAATCTATGTTCTTTCTTCTCTGAGTTTTACAGTTTCAATTCTGGCATTTGTCTTTGACACATGTTTAGCTTGTATGGTACAAGGTAAGTACCTCTGCTTCATCTTTCCATGTGTGCGTATGCAGCTGACCAGGCCCTATTTGCTGAATAACTCTTTTTTCTGTATTGAGTAGTCTTGGCTCTCTCGATGAAAAGCAACTGTAAATAAATATAGTTTGTCTCTGGACTTACAGTTCTTTTTTTTTTTTTTTTTTGTCTTTTTCGTTTTTTTACCGGTACCAGGGATCGAACTCATGACTGCCTGCTTCCAAGGCAGGCGCTTATGCCGCTGAGCTAAATCCCCAGCCCTACAGTTCTATTCTTTAGCTCTTTTTGTCTATTTTTATAACAGTACCACTGTCATGGTTACTGTAGTTTTATAGTATGAAATCAAGAAGTACTGCATATTGTTTTCTATCAATTTTTAGTTATATGGAATGTCTTTATTTTGTTCTCAGCTTTGAAAAACAGTTTTAGGGCTGGGGATTTAGCTCAGCAGTATAAGTGCCTGCCTTGCAAGCGCGTGGTGATGAGTTCAATCTCTGATACCGATAAAAGAAAAAAAAAAACGGAGAAGAAAAAGAAAAACCGTTTTAGCCAAGTATGGTGGCGCATGCCTATAATCCTAGCACTTGGGAGGCTGAGACAGGAGGATCATTGCAAGTCTGAGGCCAACCTGGGTTACAAAGTAAGTTCAAGGCCACCCTGAACTTCATAGTGAGACCCTGTTTCAAAAAGACAAAAAAATTTTTTTCTTTGTTGTTATCAAATTTGACTGTAATTAATCTAGATGGAGGCTGAGGCAGGAGGAGCTCCATGAGTTGGAAGTCAGCCTGGATTACATAGTGAATGCAAGATCAGCCTGAACTACATAGTGAGACCCTGTCTCAAACAAAACAAAAATAAACAAATCAAAGGAACAGCATAAAGGAAAGCCATAAATCACAGTACTACACAGAATAAAAAGATATTATTCGCTGCGTACCTATTGTGTTCTATGGGCCAAAGAATCATTTATTCATCACATTAACTTTAGAAAGTCAAAGGCCACCCCACTCAGTAGCTGAAATAACAGGTTTATTGAAAGAGTTTTGGCCCAGACAGGACACTGTAGCCAGTAAAGCCTCAGGCGGAACCAAGGAGCTCCAACTCCCCCACCCCTAGGAATTTACCTATGGTGCCAAAAGAATACCAATGGACTACCTGTGCATCACTAATGACCCCTCAGGCTCCACCCCAAACCTAGGCTACTTATATGCCTCCACTCCACATGTTCTATGGAAAGATCGCCGACCCCAGGGCAAGATGCTGCGCCCCAGGGGATAGGGTGTGTCTCTCCCCAAATTCTCAAAATAAAGGTCATTTATATTTCATACTTCTTATCTTTTCAGCCGCTGCCAGTCCCCCACAGTTCTATCATATGGTTCCGTGACCAGGAACGGCAGACGAGAGACTCCTGGGCTTTCCCAGTTTGAGTCCCCTGCCGTTCAGGACCAGGACTGGACTGCATCCTGCATTAATTCCTCACTTCTACACTCGGGAGCTGTAAACTTGTCACTGCTGGTTCGCAAACAACACCGACCCAATTTACCACAGGTGAGCAACCCCCAGAGATTGCCGCTGGACCAGGCCCCAGGTGGGTTTTCTCCCCCTTTCCGTGGGTTCCCGTGATGCTCTCAAGGCAGGGTCTTTCTGGGCCAATCTGTGTCCACACTGAAAGAC